TGGTGGCTTCTCTTGTTGAGGAGCATGGGCTCTAGGCGCACAGGCTTCAGTAGTTGTGGCACGTGGGCTCAGTAGTGTGGCTCGCAGGCTCTAGAGCACAGGCTCAGTAGTTGTGGTGCATGGGCTTAGTTGCTCCACGGCATGTGGGATCTTCCCAGCAGGGCTTGAACCTGTGTCCCCTGTGTTGGCAGGCAGATTCTTAACCACTGTGCCACCAGGGAAGTCCCCTCTGTTAATTCTAATAGTGTGTAATCTGTGATCATGGAACTTCACCAGTTCTAGAATCCTCAAACTAAGGGCCACAGGTGAAAGTAAACTTTAGGAGAAAAAGGGCCATACTAGTTGTTGTTATTGTTGTTGTTCTTACAAGGGAGTAGCAGTCTTTGAGAGGCAACACACGTGGGTTAACACAAAAATTTGAACAAAGGTTTGGATAAATTTGTAGATGGTTATTTTGGGTGACTTATTAAGAGACTGTATTAAGGGAATGTCTTTAATGTTTTAAAGCTGATCTCCTTAAGGATTATTTTAGATTGGACTCAACTCTTTTGTATTAATTGTGTTTTAGATCTTTGCAGGGAAAGCTAGACTAGCCCTAGGTATTCTAAGACAATAAATATTTTAAAAGTTGTTTGCAAGGTGATATTTTACAACTATTGCTTAAGTAATATCATTGCTCATATTGCATGTCTTCTGTTACAGTAGAGTCCATGTTCTCTTCTATTCCTTTTTCCCCCACTTTATTTTGAAAGTTATACTTTTTATTTTTAAAGGTATGTTTAAAAGTAAGTTGTCGACATACTAATAAAAAAACCGTTCACCAAAAGTTCATGGGAAGTGAAATTGGATACAGGCTTTTAATCTACAGTTGTTTTGAATTCATATGCCTTCCTCCAAATGGTGGGTCCTAAATAAGTGTTTGTTGCCTGATTTCCATTGATCTCTACAGGCTTTTTCAATAGTTGTGAATTCCTTTGAGGTAAGGCATTGTGTATTATTTATCTTTTTATTTCTGGTGCCTAGCACATGTCTGGCACATGGTAGGCATATAGTAAATGTTGACTTGAACTTTTCAAAATTGAGTTTGGAGTCAAAAGACCTGTTCTTATTATTCTAGCTCTCCCATTCACTAGCTATGTCCTTGGGCAAGTTACTTTGGTGCACTAGGTCTCCATTTCCACAACTCTAGAGTAAGATTCCATCTGATTCGAGAAAATCTGATGCCAAGCAAAGCATGTAGTGCTTAATTATTGCTTATTTGTATTGATTGTGTAATAAAATCCATTTGCAGGATTACCTGATTAGTAATAGATTAAATTCATTTGCAAAGTGTATCTTATTTGATGATGCTGTTGTGCATTGTTGTTGTTGCTGTTTAGAATGTAAAGGCAACTTATATTTTCTTTCATTTCCAAATATATTCTCTCTTAGTATTCCTTGTAGATTGACCTTTCTTTTTCTTATTGAATGAAAATAAATTAACGATGGAAGAAATTGCCTAGATATTTAATCTACTTCCTTATTCTATAGATGAGAAAACTGATGCTCTGGAATGTTATACTATTTGCCTGAAGCTATTTAATGGCAGAATTAGAACCCCAAGTCTCATGATTTACATTTGAGTGATTTTCCACCTCACATATCTCCAGATTATTAGGAGTTTCTTGAGATAAAGATTGGAGAAGAAATGATCAAAATAGCTAAATTTAGTGGGCACATGGAAAAACTTTTCTTATTGTCGGGGGGGTGGTGATGTGATGATTTGGGATATTGGGATTGACATATATACACTAATATGTATAAAATAGATAACTAATAAGAACCTGCTGTATAAAAAATTTTTTAAAACTTATTCTCAAAGTTATTCTAGGGGAACCATTTTTGTGCCTCATTTTCTGAGAAGTACAATAAGGAAAGTAGGAAAACATAAAAATTGTGTAAATTAGATATGTAGAAACATTTAGTGACTGATCCTTTCTTTTTCCTGAGAAATGAGGATGGAGAGAGGAAAGAAAAAATGTAATGGTTAAATTATGCCTTATTATTCTACTGTGTTGTTTTTCTTTGCCTTTTTGGTAAATCCAGGGAGTCCTCACCTATTTAATAACAGCACAGTAGATAGAAACAGACACTACTCTTCAGGTTAGATGAAGGAATAACTGATGTTCTTTCACTGTCAAAATACTTAACCCCGATTCCAGTTGCTTTCCACCCATTTTTCCTCCAGTGTTAATATAGGTATCACAGATTTTTTACAGGAGCACAGAGAGGACATTTATACAGTTTGGAGGACAGTTTGGGATCAGGGAATATACCCTAAAAGGGGTGACACTTGAGATTTTAAAGAAGGAATAGAAGCCAGATTACAGGGCAGTTTAGGGACATTCTAGAGCGGTTACAGCATGAGCCAGAGCATGAAAGGAAAAACAGCAGAAAGTGAAGTACAAACATGATTACGTTTTAGAGAGCTTAAAATGTGAAGCAAAAATGATAGGAGGTGAAGCTAGAGGAGGGCAGATCAAAAAATATACCATGTGAAAGAGCTTACACTTAATCCGCTAGGCAGTAGGGAGCTCTTAATGGATTTTTTTTAAATGGGGAAGGAAGAGAGTCAGATACTGATTTTAGGTAGATTAGTCTAATGGCTTTGTAAAGAATGGTTATATTAGTTATCTATGAATGCATAAGAACTTAACACAAAAACCTCGTAGCTGAAATAACACACATTGTTATCTTTGCCTTGGTTCCGGAACCTGAGCATGGCTAACTGGGCTGTGGCTCAGGGTCTCTAACAAGTTAACAGTCAAGGTGTCAGCCAGCTACAGTCATTCCAGTGCTCATCTGGAGGAGAATCCGCTTCCAAGCTCACTGAAGTGGTTGTTGACAGTATTGAGTTTCTTTTGGGCTGTTGGACTGAGGGTCTCAGTTCCTCTCCAGAGGCATCTCTCAGTTCCTTGCCCTGGGCCTCTCCATAGGACAGCTCATAGCGTGTCAGCTTTGAGCAAGCAAGTGAGAGAGCAAGAGAGGAGGGTGAACAAGATGGAAGCCAGAGTACTTTAATTTAGAATTGACATCTTGTCACTTTTGCCATACTTTACTCATTAGGAGCAAGTCACTAGATCCAGCCCCACACTCGAGGGGAAGGGATTACACGAGAGCATGAACGCTAGGGAGGCAGGGGTCATTGGGATCCATCTTTAAAGCTGCCTATCACAGCAGACTTAAGGAAATAAGACTAGAGGTAACGGGACCATTTAGGAGGCTGTTGTAATAATCCAAGTGAAGTGATATGGAGATTACTGTAGAATATGTAATAGAATGACAGGGAGGGGATGGAGTTTAGAAGTGTTTAGAATGTTAAGTCATGAGAACTTGGCGATTTAGAGCATGAGAGTTTTAAGGGAGAAGAAGCAATTAAAGGTGGCATCCAATTATTCTTGGCTCGTAAATCACTATCTGACTGAAGAATAATTTCATCTGAATGTGACTTAAACTCCTGTCTACATTGAGCTTTTATATTCATTACTGCTATTCTCTCCACACTTTTAGTTTTCTAAGCTTGCCCTTGGTGTTGCTTCCCTGGACACCAGTTTCTAAATATCTCAATATCTCTCAGTATCTGTTTGATTTTCCTATTTGTTTCTCTTCCTGTTTTTACCCTCCCTATCCAAATACTTACCACTGTACACAAAGTATGGAACAGTCTCCGAATTTCTTCCCTGGGGCCTTTCCTTTCTTTAATCTAGATTCTAAAACGTCTAATATCTATGCATTTATCATTCATTTAACCAACAAGTATTTATTGTGGGCCCACTTTGTGACCAGCACTTTACTAGGCCTCCTTGGGAATATAACAGTGAACAAGACAAGCATTGTCCCTGTTCCTTTGTGTCTTCATTAATATCTTCTCTTTCTTTTCTGTCTGTCAGAAGTACTACTAATCTTTTAAGGTACACTTCACCTTCTACCTTCCTTAAAAGGTATATGTTTTGTTTTGTTTTGTTTTGTTTTTATCTCTGTCTCCTATAGCTATAATCAGGAGGGGTTTTACTCTAGAAATATTGAGATACTACAAGTTTAAAAGAAAGAACTGGCTTAAGCTATTAAGTGTAATGAAGCTATTCTTGACCTTCCCTCTCAGTCTGCTTCAAGCAATAGAGCAGTGCCTCACCCCCTGACTCATTGGACTCCCCCTGGAGAGCTTTTTAAAAACATAGATGCCTCAACTCTCCCTCAGAGGTTCTCATTCAATATGTTAGAAATGACAACAAACAAGACTCTAAGGTGAATTTGATATGTAGCTGGTTTAGAAAACTATTGCATTAGAGTCAGCCTCACCATTACACTATTAATTGCTTTGTGTGCATTTAACCATCCAAGTAGCCTAAAGCCATAATTTCCAAATACTGGTTGAGGACTAATTACATCAGTTCATACAGACCTTGGGGCCCTATCACAAGAGGTGCTGATTCACTAGATCTGTGGTTATATCCAGGCTTCTATTTTTTTTAATAATCAGTGAAGACTGATATATAATCGGGTTGGAAAAACACTGGACAAATGAACTTAATATGCTGTATTAATTTTTTTTGTATTTTCCTTAACAGTATTCTTCAGATAAATGAATGTAAATATTTGACAAACGTTAAGGACCAGTTGGCCATGATATGCTTTATAGATTATCCTTGAAGATTCTAGCCATTTGAAGTCATATTATAAATGATAGTTGAACGACTGCTGTGTTTAAATTTTAGATGCTCCAGTATTATTCAGTGGCGTGTTTATTGTTTCATACATTGATACATTTCATTTAGCTCTTTTACTTTAAAGAATAACTCATTTGTCCCATGAAAAATTTGGAGCAATGGCTGGATTCTTTTTCCTCATATTATTCTGACAAATCTTTGTTATATTCTATTGGGAGGTATATTATTACTTTCTTGCAGGATGGGATTGTCAGAATGTGGCTTTAATAAGTTTGATGTCTTCCTTTTCTATAGTGTTATTCCTCTTTTAAGAGAGTCTGTTGGAATATTAATGCAGCGAACTCCTCCCCTTTTGGAAAATACTCTCCCTCAGTGCTATCAGAGGGTAAGTTTCAAAGCTTCCAAACCATTGGGTTTTGGTTGTTTCCAAGCTGTTAGGGGTTATAACTTTTATAAATATGGGTAGCATGTGTGTATAATTTAGTATTTCTGCCAAGACTGAATGCTGACCATGAATGCCATTTATATGAACCAGAATAAAATCATTGGAAAATATTGAGCTTCACTAAAGAAAATGTGGTAGAAGTTGTCCTCATCTAGAAATCAAGCAGCTCTTTTAAAATATAAATATAAATAGCAGATGATATAAGCATTTCTTCAGCATAGATTTTGTGAGCTCCCCTTTTATGCCATATATTCTTCTAAGGTATTAGGGGTGTAATGGTAAATAAGGTAGTCAGGGTCTATCAAAGAATTTATGGTCTGGTGGGAAAGCACAGGCACTAAACAATAAATAAATAAGAAAATATCAGTGATGATTACTATAATAGAAATAAAACAAAGTCATGTGAGACATGGATGGCTATGTCAGATTTATCCAGGAAGTCATATTCAAGGAAATTGAAATCTTGTTGACAAGAAGGAGCCAGACATGAACATCTTGGAGAAGAGTGTTCCAAGCAAAGGAAAATGCTAATGCGAAAAGTTCTATGACTGGAACTAATTTAGTGTGTTTGAAAAACAGGAAAAAAAAAAGCCATTGTGGCTGAAGCATAATAAAGGGAAGAGTGGCTGGAAAGGCTGGGGAGAATGGCAGAGACAGATCATATAGCGGTTTTGGTCTTACTAAGAGGTTTAGATTTAATTCTATTCACTGGGAAGCATTAGTAAGCTTTTAGGCAGATAGGGTGTCACAAAATGTAAGTTTTTAAAAGCTTATTCTGCTTGCTATTAGAGAATAAACTCTAGGGAGAATGAAAGCAAAGAAAACCAGTTAAGAGGCTGTTCTAATCTGAAAAATCATGGCCTGGACTACAGTGGTAGAAGTGAAAATGGAGCTAAGTAGATATTTTGGATAAGTTTTTGGAGATGGATTATATTAGCAGAAGGGAGAAAAAGTGTTGAATCGCAACTAGGTAGATGCTAATACCATTTGTTGAGGTTGATGCAGGTGTGAGGGTGGAAAATCCTCCCAAATCAAGAGTTCTATTCTGGATATGTTAAAAATGAAATGCCTACTGTACATCTAGGGGAAATGTCACTCAAGTGGTTGGATATGCAAATCTGGAGTTTTAGGGACTGATGAGAACTAGGGGGAGTTTGAGTCATCAGTATATGACTAGCATTTAAAACATTAGGATTATGTGAGGTTACCTTGGGAGGATTAAGCTCTAATCTTTAGGTCAAGCTTCCACTCCAGATTTAGAGCACAGGCAGGAAAGCCAGGAATGGGAGCTGGAAAACCCAGAAGAAGTTGAAGGAGGAAGTAATCAACGGTGCCAAATATTTCTGTGAGGCAATTACAGTAGGAACAGAGAAGTGACCATTGATTGGGATCATGAACAGCATTAATGGCCTTGATAAAAGCATTTTCAGTAGAGTTTGGAGAAAGCATGATAATAGTAGATTAAGGAGAAAATGAATTGGGGAGGTAGAGATAGTGGTTACAGTCAACTTTTTTTAAGAAGTGTTGTTAAAGGGAACAAAGAAATGAGCTGATAGCTTGGCTGTAGATACAGTAACAGTGGTGAGGGAATTTGTTTTTAAAATAAGATGTTTTAAAACAGCATCCCATAGAACTTTCCCCAATAATGGAGATGTTCAATAATCTACATTTCCCAGTATGGAAGTCACAAGGAACACGTGGCTGTTGAGCACTTGAAGCTTAATAATTTGAGCTATAGCGCAACTAATTTTTAAACTTCATTTCATTTTCATATATTTAGTCACATGTGTTTAGTGACTTCTGTATTGCACAGTGCAGTTCTGGAGCCTGTGTGTTACAGGAAGAAATGGATGGTATGGTAGTGAAGCAGGTTACTTCACTACCTGCTGAAGGAATGAAGGTCTTGAGAAGGTGAAAAAGGAGAGAACCCAAAGCACTATGGAGGAATTAATTGTAGATAGGAGCCAGGGGTACTGTATCCCCCAAGGGAAGACAGAAAGTGCTGAAAGAGGTGAGGGCTGACTGGTGGATTCGGTGGTGCAGGATAAGGGATTTTCTGTGTGCTTCTATTTTCTCTTTGATTTACAGGGCAGAGTAATCATGCAGAGAAATTAGAAGACCAGAGGAGAAAAGAGAAGGTATAGAATAGTCCTTTTTGAGGTAGGGAAAGTGAAGTGCTGCCCATTTGACATTTGTGGTTTTATGATTTTAAGGTAGGACCAGTCAGCATAGTTGTGGAAGAGAAAGGGGCAATTTATTGAACGCCTACTCTAAGCTGGTCCCTATATTAAGTGATTTACATATATTGTTTCTTTTCTTCACATTAACCATACAGGGTAAGTTTCATCTTCCTTTCCCTAGGAAGATTGAGTAAAATTGATGTTTGAGGATTTAAGTAACTCATCTAAAGTCACAGATGGTAGTGGCTGAATCTGGATTTGAATCCATATCATTCTGGCTTTAAAAGCTCATGCTCTTTTTGTTAAACCACACGGTCCGAGCAGGAAGAGCGACACAGATTTTCATCTGTAGCTACACTTTCCCCACTTTTTTTAATTCGAGTAAAGTTAATGCCAGTTTCTATAAGACTCATTCCTTAACTTATGCTTTAGGATAACTGCAGGAATGTGCTTGTACTGCTATATCTATGGAGGTAGAAGAAATCTGTTCAATCAGGGTGTTGTTTCCCTAGCAGTATACCATTTCCATTTAGAAAAGTGTGGAGGGATATCAGGTTCAAACCACTGTGTCATCAGAGTCCTGAAAGAGGAAGAGGAAGTGCACCTTGACCTCTTTCCCTAGTAAAAGCAGTTTTTTTAAAGGGCACAATGGTTATTGTCTCACATTTCCCACCAAGTGTCTTGGAGCTTATAGAAAGTGATCCTACAACAAATTCTGATAAAAATAAATATTTTTGATAAATATAAGTTCAACTTTTTCTTAATTGACAGCCCAAATAGATTACTTAAGAATCAGGGAATCTCAGAATTCAAAAAGATCTTATTATTCATTTGGCCCAGACTTCTATCTGTTGGAAGAATCTCCTTTGTGACATTCAGTTGGTCATTCGGCTTCTTGACTATTTCCAGGAATCGGTAGTTAGCCCCTTCACTGAGTAACCTCTTTCTCTTTTAAATTGCTGTAATTGTTATAAAGATCTTTTTAACTTCTGGTTTCTGATCTTAGTTCATCTCCTCTAGATCTATACAGAGATATTGAACAATAGCGGTGATTTGGACATCTTTGTAAAGATTTTCCTGATCTTCAAGGGAATACATCTAACGTTTTTTCCTTAAGCGTTTTCTGTACGTTTTGGGTAGATAGCTTTTATTAAGTTAAGGAAGTGTCCTTCCAATCATAAATAGGGGTTGAATTTTATTAAATAATTGTAATGCTTTTATTGAAATGACTATGTGGTTTTTCTCCTTTGCTTCACTAATTGAAGAATAAGAGTAATAGAGTTTCTGATGTTTAATCTTTCCCTCTTGGGATAAACCTAACGTAGTCATGATATGTTATTTTTTAATATACTGTTGGAGTTAGCTTATTTAATTCATAAGAGAAATTAGCTTATGATTTATTGTCTTTATCTGGTTGGGGATCAAGATTATTTCTTATATGAGATAGCACCTCTTTTTTATTTTCTGGCAAAACTAAGAGGTTATGTTAAGTTTCTTGAAAGTCTGCCCTCTGGGACTGGGGGTTGGGGGGGCTTTATGAAAGAGAACTTTTATTACCTTTTCAGTTTTTAATGGCCCTTTTATATCTTCTGGTTTTTTCTTATATTACAGCATTTTCTGTATTTCCAGAAATTTATTCATTTTTGTCTAGATTTTTGAAATTGTGTTTTTTGTTTTTGCTTTTCTGATTTTATTATTTATTTTTTCCAGCTTTAGTGAGGTAAAATTGATAAATGAAAATTATGTATATTTAAAGTGTACAATATGTTGTTTTGATATACATGTACATTGTGAAATGACCATGGAACACTTCATGAATTTGCATGTCATTTTTGCACAAGGGCCATGTTAATCTTCTCTGATCATTCTCATTTTAGTATATGTGTTACCAAAGCAAACACCAAAATTGAATTTATATTCATTTTATATACATACATGTACTATTTACTGAGCAATTACTTGGGCCAGGCTTAGGTCCTTACAGTTTTAGGTGCTGAGGATACAAAACATAAAAATCGAAAATAAATCCCTGCCTTTATTGAGCTTGCGTTCTGCCAGAGGAGACAGGCAAGAAACAATATAAATAACATAGTAATGTAGTGTGCGACATTATATGCTGAAAAGTAAAACAAACCAGAGAAATGTAAAAATAAAAGCATTGTAGTTTTACATAGAATAACAGTAGAAGGGCCTCCTGAGAAGATGGCATTTGAGTCAAGACCCAAACAAAGTAGGCCAGGCAGAAATCTGGAAGGAAAGACACTCCAGGCAGAGGGAATAGCAAATGCCCTGGGACAGGAGTGTGCCTGACTTTTCAGAGTGGTGAGGAGGCTTCTGTAGCTGAGGAAGAGGGAGCAAGGGGAGGAGTAGTAGGAGATGAGGTAAATAAGGTAAATAACAAGGGGCCACATGACGCTGGTCCATGTAAGTCATTGTGAAAGCACTGGTTTTTGTTCAGAGTAAGGTGGGAATCTACTGGAGGATTCTGAACAGAGTGAAAGCATCTGATCTAAAGTAACAGATTCTTACTTGGGCTACTGTTTTGAGAATAGATGAAGAGGTGCAAGGCTAGAAATAGAGAGACCAGTTAATAAGGTATTATAATAATCCAAACTAAAGTGGCTTCAACTAGCCTGACAGCAGTAGAGGTGGTGAGAAGTGTTTGGATTCTACTCAGCTGTAGTATTTTGTACACTCACATATTGATACATTCATATAGTATTCCGTTTTATAGTTTTTAAAATCTGTTGTTTGTAGTTCTTTTCCTTTTTCATTTTGTACTTTGTTTAATTGCATGTTCATTTATTTTATTTTTTTACCGCCATCAGAGTTTGTCTTGCCAGTGGTTGTCAACCTAAGGGTGTGGAACACTTAAGGAGCCACTGGAAAAACTTTGAGACATCCCTCCCTTTTCTGGTTGTCACATGAGTTGGGGAAGGGTATATGTTGGCATGTAGTTCCCTGGGTCCTGGGGATGCAAAGATCCTGTAGTTTCTGACACTTGTACACGATGAAGAATCATCCTGTCTAAAACATGCCCCCATTACGTACGAAACACTGACTCTAGCTTGTTAATCTTTTCAGAGAACTAGTTTTTTGATATTGTGAACTCTGTCATTTCTAAATTTGTGGATCATTGATTTCCATCCTTTATTTCCTTCCTTTTTATTTCTTAAGTTGACTTTTTTGTTTTTTTCCTAATTTCTTAGCTCATTTGTATTTATATTTGTCTTCTGATCGATGTACAGTTGACCCTTGAACGACACAGGTTTGAACTGCACGTTCTACTTATACATGGATATTTTTCAACAGTAAATAGCCACAGTACTACATGATCCATGGTTGGTTGCATCCTCAGATTTTTGACTGAGAAGAGGGCTGGCATCCCTAACCCCTGTGCTGTTCTCGGGTCAACTGTATTTGAAAATGTAAATTTCACTTAGGTGCTCTCTCAGCTGTGCCCCACAAATTTTGATATGTGCTCATTTATATTTCCCAAACACCTGTCATGGTACCAGCACATAGTAAGTACCCAGTAGGTATTTGTTAATCAATGCAAGCCACCCCCCCGCCACACCAGGCCACTTTTTTCATTAGAGAGTAGAATCCATGTTTACTGATGTGTTGCATGATTTAAGTTGGGTGTACTTAAACTTGAGTTCATGTTAATATGTGCTCTTTATATTTTAGGTGCAGCAGTTGCAAGGAGTTTACAGTTTACAAGAACAGCATTTCTGGACCTTATGTTCTGATGTTTATGTTGGGACCTTGAAATTAGTAGTAGCACCTGATGCTGATGCCAGGTGGATTTTAAGCCAAACACATAATATTTTTACTCAGGTATGATTTTTTTACTAACTTCTTTTAAGGGTCTAGGAATTTATTGTATCTACTAGTCTTAAAAAGATTTACTATTTAACATATTGAATATATATATACTACACTGTGAGGTAAGTGTGAAAGTTTTTTTTCAACCACAGAGTCAAATTTGGGAGATCCTTACTTTAGTGAATACTGTTAATGAAGATAGTCCTGTTTACTCGTTGTTGTACTGATTTGAGCTCCTTTAAGAAAAAGTAGATTCTCCCTTACTGTACACTCCTTATAAGACATGTTATATGATATTTGAAGCTAGGAATTCTAAGGTAGCATTTGGAATAAGAATAATGTCTGGTCAGTGGCGTTGGCTAAAAGCAAACTATGTTAACATTTTTGTTGATAGCAAAGCCATCTCTACTTCTGTGTCATTTAATGGCTTAATATGCTGTTGAGGTTTTCTTAATTCTGTATATGGAATCACGAATTAGTCAGTGCATGACTGCAACCAAATTATATCAGGTAATGTTTATGCCATCATGAGTTGACATAGTCAGTGACTGATAAAGTAAAAGTGATTACTAGGTTATTCTGTATATACTGGGAGAATAAGAACATCATGTCAAGAATATCTGAAGAGAGAGACTACAGATTTTTTTTTTTTTTTTTGGTCTAGCTTGCTGGAAATATTTGGCAAAAAATCTAGATGTTGACACTGCTTCCAAAATTATCTAACACATAAATCTAATGAGGAAACTGATTCCATGCCTTAAAAATCTGTGCTTCAGTGTTCATTGAAGCACTATTTCCAATAGCCAGGACATGCAAGCAACCTAAGTGCCCATCGACAGATGAATGGGTAAAGAAGATGTGGCACATATATACAATGGAATATTCCTCAGCCATAAAAAGAAACGAAATTGAGTTATTTGTAGTGAGGTGGGTGGACCTAGAATCTGTCATACAGAGTGAAGCAAGTCAGAAAGAGAAAAACAAATACTGTATGCTAACACATATTTATGGAATCTAAAAAAAAAATGGTTCTGAAGAACCTAGGGGCAGGACAGGAATAAAGACGCAGACATAGAGAATGGACTTGAGGACAAGGGGAGGGGGAAGGGTAAGCTGGGACGAAGTGAGAGAGTAGCATTGACATATATACACTACCAAATGTAAAACAGATAGCTAGTGGGAAGCAGCCGCATTGCACAGGGAGATCAGCTCCGTGCTTTGTAACCACCTAGAGGGGTTGGATAGGGAGGGTGGGAGGGAGACGCAAGAGGGAGGGGATTTGGGGATATATGTATACGTATAGCTGATTCACTTTGTTATACAGCAGAAACTAACACAACATTGTAAAGCAATTATACTCCAATAAAGATGTTAAAAAAAAAAAAATCTGTGCTTAAAAACTGACCCAGCCCTCCTGATGTGATGCAGTGGGAAGTACACAGCATGACCTGTGTGGCACTCTTGCCAGAAATAGTTAATGTGAATCCCGTCACCTTGTGGACTGTTACCCTGGATTCTTAAGAAGTGTCAGTGTCATGAAAGGAAAAAAAGGAACAATGGAGGATTCTTCTAGATTAGAGGAGACTTCACAATTAAATGCCGTGTGTGGCCCTTGATTGGATCTTGGACTGGGGAGAAACAGCCACAGAGGAAACTATTGGGTAATTAGAATATGGACCACACAATAGCTCATATAATTGTGTAGGTGTAACTTCTTGGGTACGATAATGGTATTGTGGTTATAGAAGAATGCTTGTATTCTTAGGAGATACATGCTGAAGGCTTTAGTGGCAAAGTATCAGGATGTCTAATTTTCAAATGTTTCAGCAAAAGTAAAAAGGATTATAAATAAATACATATATAGAGAAATAAGGCAAATGTGGCAAAATGTTTGCGATTGGTTTATACAGGTGATGGGTAGATATGCATTTATGGTGCTATTCTTTTGACTTTAAGCCTTTTCAAAATAAAAAGTTAAAAAATAAAAGTTTGGTGGCTCCTCATTGCCACCAGGATAAAGCCCAAACTTTCTAGCATGACACAATTAACTTTTCAAGCCTCTCTCCTACTATTATTCATTGCCATGTACTTCATACGCCAGCCCCACCAGACTATTTACTTACCTGTGTGAGACAAAAATCCTACTCTAATGTAAAGGTCCAATTCAATTGTTACTTTCTCTCTGAAGCCTTAAAGACCCTTCTAAGCATCATATAGATAGAGAAAGAGAGAGGGACAGACTGACAGTTTAAATTCAGGACCTTAGCATAAATTAAACGATCTCTTCTCTAATAGAGGTGTATGGTTATGTTCCTTTGGAATAATTAATGAAATAATCTTATAATGTAGGCAACAGCCAGACCTCCTCTACTACAAAACAATATGCTGGTACCACTTATTTACTCTAGACATTTAAGAACTGTCTTTTCTTAACAGACATTATAAGAAGTCTGTACCACCATGAGTTTCATAATGCAGCATGCAAAACCTTCACAACACGTCTGAATCCTTCTCACACCTCCTCCCTTTTTCAGAGGCAAAAAGGAGAACATGACTAGCAACAACCTTGCTTTTCACTGCCATTTCTAGGTCATTATTCTCTCCTTCAGTCTCGATTTTCTCCTAGTTATACCATGTCCTTCCACCCTCACAGTCTGAGCTTCTGTCCACCTCTAGGATACCTCATACTGTCCGAAGACTTTGGCACTTAAGTCACTTAATTTTCCCTCTGAGAAGGAATGCAATTTATAGGTTTAGAAATGTGTGAGCAGCTGTGTCTGTGCTTAGAACTGCTGAAGTTGTAATTGAAGTAGGTGGAGGGAGGTTCTTCTGGTAACCTTAGAAATCTTGGCTTTTAAAATGGCTGAAGTTGAAAGTTTACTCAGCTGCCTCTTTGGTTTTGGAAACTGTATTTGGGTTTTGAAAATTTTAAGCTCTAAAACATATTTTAAGCCTTTTTATCAGCTAAGGTCAAGCACACTTGATTTCATTCCTTGCAGAGACTAGGGACTCTCTTAGGCTTGCAGTGAAAATGGTTCAACACATTTTTCCCAGCAGGCAGAGAGAAGTCATCCTTCTCATGATTTTCATTCCATACATTTAATGATTGTAAAGTTGTTTTGTGATAGTTGTTTTGGTTCTGACGTATGCAAAACTGAAGTTTTTTATTAATTTATTTTCCTTTACTGCTTATGCCCTAGTCATGCATATTCATTATGCTATGAGTATATCCAATACCTTGCAGTAACATTTGCAATTCATGAAATGAAATTTAAATTTTTTTACGTTTTTTAAAAATTTTAAATTATATCTTAATCATAGATTTTACTTATCAAAAGTAGTAAAGATCAAATTGCTCCATTTTTAAGAAAAAAATTACACTAATCCTTTAAGTACATTTCTTGTAGAAAGACTTGAAATACTGGTGGCCTTAGTTCCAAAAGACCAAAAGAAGGATTTTCTCAATACTTTGTGGTTCTATGACATTTTAATGTATTTTTCTTATAGCTGATCTTAAATTGGAATTAAAATTTTTTTTTTTTGGTTAAAAAGTTGTTCTTGTTAAAATTTATATGGGGTTAGCTTTGAAAAGGTTAACATAAGTTTGAGAATTATAACATTTTGTTTTGTTTTTAAAACTATAAGCTTTGCAACTGTTTTGGAACTGTACATTAAGCATGTCTTTTTATTCTCATGTTCCATAGTTATCACTTAATCATGAATGGCTAAGGCAGTTGGCTTGCTATCACGAATATAGAGCAATACTAGTGAATTGGTAGAAGTCTCTTCAGTACTTTGATTCCTTTGGGATTATTAGTTAAGTGATAATCCAGTTTTTAAACTACAGGGTTTTTTATTGACATAGAAAAAGTCCCTCTCCTTTCCACCGCGTGCACTAACTTTTTAAAAATGATTTATCATTTGGGAACAGATGAAATAGAAAATTTATTATTTATGTTTAGTATATGAACAGGAAGTGGATGTGGGATACTGGATGAGGAAGGCAATTTATCATTTATGTTTCTTGTTTTAAACTGGCTGATATCATCTGTTAATTTTTTTAATACACTTTGGTTAGAAATAAAGTTTGAAGAAAAATCTAGAATATGCTTGGGTTCATTACCCTCCTCAGTTCCACACAGCAGAAAAGACAATCAAGGCTAATGCATATTATTTGCTCCTTGATAGAAATTGTACCTTGATATCTTCCATCTTCTCTTCTGCCTGTTTCTGTTATACCTATTAAGTCCTGAACGCCTGGCTTCCTGCTTCAGCTTTCTGTGCTCTATTTTCTTGCCTCAAAATAGAAGTTAACACTGATCGCCAGGAAGGAACCAAAAAGCCTCCTCACTAACCCAGATGGGAGTTCCCCCAGATTCAGGACCTCCCACCTGCACCGCTGTCCTGCCTGCGCGATCCCTTCCTGTCTCTGACAGTAGGGAATAGGAGAAGCTCTCTGTGCCTTTCCGGGTGGCTAGCTAGTTTTCCACCCTTCCTGTTTGTAGGGAATTTTAATCTTTTATAATGATTGATTAGTTTTAATTAATCCACAGGGGTTAAGTGTCCATTGGTTGATGGTGGTGGAAATAATAACAGCAGCAGCAGCTAGCCTTATTGAGAGCCCACCACATGCCAGGCACTGCGATAGACACCTAACATATTAATCTACCTGCAGCACAGGTGGGGTATTCTCCCCAGTTTACAGAAAAAGGAACCCAGACCCAAGTTATTGTTCATGACTTGTAATTTCATCATATTAAGTCACTATTTCACGAATTCTGAGATGATTCAGTTTTCACATGGAAGAGTAAGGCAGTTTTTCAAGAATTCATTTTTAAGGGATAAAGACTAATATTCTACATTGAGTCAAAAATTAAAGTAGAGGGCTTCCCTGGTGGCCCAGTGGTTGAGGGTCCGCCTGCCGATGCAGGGGACGCAGGTTCGTGCCCCGGTCCGGGAAGATCCCACATGCCGCGGCGCGGCTGGGCCCGTGAGCCATGGCTGCTGGGCCTGCGCATCTGGAGCCTGTGCTCCGCAATGGGAGAGGCCACAGCAGTGAGAGGCCCGCGTACAGCAAAAAAAAAAAAAAAGTAGAAAGTTTCTGCAGTTTTTGAGAATTGGTAGAGAAATACAAACAACCCAGTAATTTTCTTTAGCCGTATTCTTGTTTATTTTTCTAAATTTTTACTGCTGATTTGTCTTCCTTTCCACAACGAGTATTTATGGAGAGTATTCTAAGTCTATGATTTCAGGTTAACACTTATTTTCTTAGAAGCATGGATGTTAAAAATAACTAGCTGTCTTTCCAACTTAAAAAAGTGTTAACTGAATTACGGTTTATACATGATTCTCAGGATATAAGACACAAGTATTCTAGGGTTTTCACTTTTTTTGAGGACAACCCTCAGCCGGCTTTAGTGTCATCCCAGCGGTAGGTAGAATATTTAATGGCACTGGGCACTGTTTTGATCTGCTGGAGTATTTGTCATGTCTTTGTCGTGTGGATAAACTGTAAAGAAAACCTAGTTTGCATTCAGGAAGTAGGTGACTTCCTAAAGGAGTCTTTGGAAATTCCACTTTTTTTCTCTACATTGAAGGAAATTGAGAAAGGAAAATGGGAAGCTGGAAGACTTAAAGGTGTTCCCATCCAGCCAGATGGATGAAACAAAATGACTTTTTCTGTTAGACTGGGCTTTTGTGTAAAGCAGTAGGCCCTCTGGGGAAAGATATCAGCTTGAGTAATTAACTTGTGATTATGCAAAGATCAATTTACCTAGCCTCTTTGTTTTTCCTCTTTCTTTTTTATTGCCTTGGGCTACCTCATTTCTTATTACTATCTTCACTGTATATGGGGGGGGCGGTTAGGAAAGTGGCAGAGATAATAATGGGAGCCCAACTTACCTTGTCCATTTTTCTTTCATTAACAATTTTGTTAAAGAGAAAAGAAATTAAGCCAGTTTATTTGGGCAATAGTTGTTTTCTCCTAAGGTTAGATACACAAGAATTTTGCAGAAGGGCTCCTAAGTACAGTTATTACGGGGCCCATCTGGGTTGAGTAAATCAAATATAATCAACCATAATAATTTGTTTTTTATAGCATGTAAGAATCCTTTCTTGTATATTCACATATGATCCTTACAATAGTGCCTGATATGTAGCAAGGATTTATCAAATGTTTGTCAAATACTGGATGAATATATAACATTTTTGTGAGATAAGTAGGATTGGTATTTATCAACACTTTTAAAATTAGGAAAACTGAGATTCTGTTTCAGTTTTTAGCTTAAAATCATACAGATGTTAAGTTCTATCTTTTTTCTGCCACAAAACTCTTTGAGTGCGTGCAATTCAATGTATTTTCAGAGAACTTTAACTTTACCACAGCAAGGATTTTTCTTTTCTTTCTTTCTTTTTCTTTTTTTTTAATGAGGCAAAAACGCTAGCATGTTTTCTGTGCTGGAAAGCTACTGGGGTCTTTTCCAGCTTTTTACTCCACTAGAGCAGCTCCTGACTCCTTAGACATTCATTAGTGCTGGGCAGAGCCCTCCAACTGGAATGCTAGAAGAAAAGCCATGGTAGAAAGTAATGCTTTCAGGAGCCCAGAAATTCCTGGGAGAAGGTAGCGTTATTATTTTATCCCCCACTCCGGCTTTTCTTTCTCTTAGATGTTCCACTTTACTCTTCATTCTATGTTGCTGACAAGAAAGTGCTTAATTGTAACCGATTGTATGCTTTAATCTTTAAAAATTGTTTTTTATTTGAAAGAAGGAAATTAATAGAATTTCAGTTCATCCAACATGTATTTATTGATCATTTACTGTGTGCTGGGCACTACTTGAGGTTCTGGGAGTCAGCAGCAAAAGACAGGACAAAGTCCTTTTATCTTGGACATTATCATTGGAGAGTAACAATCAACAGCATCACAGCAAATAAGTTTTATGATATATTAGAAAGTGATAAGTGTTATAGATAGGGAGAGCAGGGTAGGGAGACGGAGGGGGGGGGGTGCTGAGGCATTTACCATCTCTTGCACCAAGCTTTGTTTTTGTTTTTTGTTCTTTTGATAGATAGATAGAGATAGATAGATAATATCTATCTCATCATCTCATATTTATTTACTTGCTTGTTTATCATCTCCCCTCCTTCCTAGTTCCCAACAGCTTATAAATTCCATGAGGGCAAGGGTATTTTTTACCTGTTTTGTTGGCTGTTGTATTCCCGGGGGACAGAAGAGGGCCTGGATTCCAATAGATGCACAAAATGTATTTGTTGGATGAATGAATTGAATGCATTTTTTAACAGGGTGGTCAGGATAAGCCTCACTGACATCTGAGTAGAGATATGACAGGAAAGGGAGTATGTCATGTGGCAATCTCGAGGAACATTGTACCAGGCAGAGGGCCCAGTGTGGCTGGAACAGAGTCAACAAAGGGAGAGAAGTAAGAGATGAGATCAGAGAGGTAATAGGGGCCAGATCATGGGAAAGCTTTGAAGGCCATTGTAGGACTCTGGGCTAAGGACTGAGGAAGGTAAGCTGTTGTAGGGTTTGAGTGATGGAGTGACATCACTATAGTTGCTCTGCTGGAAACAGACCAAAGGCGGGCAAAGGTAAAAGAGTGAAAACGAGATCAGAGGCCGTTACAAAATGTAGGCAAGAGATGATAGTGACTTGGGCCAGGGGATAGCAATGGAGGTGATGTAAATTGATCAGATTCTGTATTTGCATTATTTTGAAGGTAAGGCAAACAGGTTTCGCTAATGGGTTGGGTATGAGAGAAAGAAAGGTTTTTAAGTTGCAGCATTGAGGAAGGAATTGAGCCTAAGAAGATATAGGATCAACAGTTTAGAGGGGAGGAAATAGGGATCAATTTGGCTGTGTTTCGATGCTTGTCAGACATCCAAGTAGAACTGTCAGGTAGATGGTAGGTAGGTTCCAGTCTACAAAAGGTGTGAGCATGTAGACGGTACTGAAAGTCTGGATACTGGGTGAAACCATCTAGGGGACAAGTGTCAAAAAAGAAGGGATCTGAGGACTAAGCCTTTGGGTATTTGAGTGTTTAGTATTCAAAGACAGGAGGAAAAACCCACAAAGGAGACTGAGAAAGATTGATAAGTGAGGTAAAAGGGCAACCAGCGGGTATTCTCTGGAAGCCAAGAGCAGGAAAAGTGTTTCAGTAGGAGGAAGTGATCGTCTGTGTCCTTTTTGCTGCTAGATTAATTACTAAGATGAGGACTGAGAATTGAGCACTGGGCTAAGCAATTTAGAGGTGACCTTGACAGTTTTGGGAAGTGGTTGGCAGCAAAAGTTTGGTTGAAATGAGTTCAAGAGAGAAGAGAGTAAAGGAATTATAGATAGCAAATATAGAAAAATTGATAAAACTGGAGAGATGGGGGCAATTTTGAGATCAGTGTCCTTGAATAGCAAGTTTATATCCAAAATTGAAAAGAGGAGTTGGAGTGTAAAGTAATTCAGTAACCAGTAGATGGTTATGCTTATTTCAGTGTTTAAAATCATTTATCATAGGAAGATTTAGACTGGATAGATTTATGATTTTAGTAGCCAACTAGTCAAGCACTGTGGTGTTTTCTAGCAGAATAATGGTAGCTGGGTAACCTCATTTTTCCAAAATTCACTTGGGCAGGGCATGTAATTAGTAGCATAGCTTTCTTTTGTAGGGCTAAATGGAGAATCTTTTTTGCAACTTATTAACATACTTGTTTCTAAAATAAAATTATTGGCACTTTATGATGAAAAATGGAGAATTCTTTCCCAAAGACAGAAAAGAAAAATAATTCTTCCCTTTTTCAAAAAAAAAAAAAAGAAAAGAAAAATTTTTTTTCCTACTACTTTTCTGAAATGTATAGTCTATTATTGGTTTGTTTGATTTTCTAATTTTTTTTTTTTTTTTAACTTTTCAGGCCGGAGTGAGACAGCTTTATGTACAGATTGACTTTGCGGCCATGTAAATGAATGAAAAGAAATTATGCTTTTTGGGGGACCTAATTTTTTCTGGTACTGTAAAATCCTAATCATGGTACCTAGCTTTTTAAAAAGAGAAATCATCACTACAACTTCCCAGCACCAAGTAGACCAGGCAGAGTCAGCCGATTGTGCTCTGCCAGGAGTTTACAACTAAGGGATCAGAATTAAGAGGATCTCTCCTGGACTTTTGGTCTTCTGTGCTTCTTCCCTCCAAACCATTTTGATTTCTGAGGTTTCTAGTTTTGTTCCAGGGTATTGTTTTCTGTTTGTTTCCTTTTTTTTTTTCATTTCAAATGCCCTCACTCCCACCCCTCATCCTAGCCAGTAAGAAATTCAGACAGTGGGCCTCTAATCATCTGGAATGTCTTCACTGAAGCTGCTGGAAACCACTGCTTTCATTCCCAGAAAACCAGTGTTATTTAAAAAAAAAAAAAAGAAAAAGAAAAATGGAAATCTGCTTTATATGTAATGTCACAATTGTTGACGTTCTTCAATATAACCATGTTTGTAAAATTGTTTGTACCTTGCAAACTTATGAACCAAACCATATTGGGTTTTCAAAGTGCCTTTGTATCAGAAAATGTATTTGCCAGCATAGAAATGTACCATCAAAGGTCATGTATATGTTTTTTTTTAATGGGTATTCTGTATTCTGTACAAAATAAGACGCTTGTTAGTAATGTATACAGATGTCTTTTTGTGTACTTGCAGCATAGGTTTAGATATATAAAAATCTGCCTTTTATTGCTTTATCCCATCAAAAAATAAAAGGTGTTATTTTGCTTTTTAAATCAAATTCAGTTATTACATTAAATTATTTTGTGTACTGTGTTTTCAAAACTTTGCAAATGCTTCTGTTATACAGACGGGTGTTTTAACTTACTTAAAACATCTGCTAAATTCTAAATTTCTATAAAAGCTACTGTGTCTGTGATAAACTTTCGTATATCTTTCCTTACTGTTTTTATAGATTCTATTAATGAAAGGAAAAGGCATGTAGAGTGAAGGCAGAAATGGTTGTGACAATGTTATTTTGCTTTTTCATTCTTCAAATGCCAAGTCATACGTTTTCCTGTGCAAGTGTTACACAAATACAGTTGCTTTCAGGAATCCTAAAGCAGCATTTTATTGACTTTGAAGTATTGAAGGTACTGAGTAAATGTGGTAACATAGAACTCTTCCTAACACAGGTATCTTGGAAGTTAATAAATAAGTTGATTTCTAGGCTCTTGTGTATTTGAAAAATAAAATTGCAATTTGAGATAAGTGCTTGAATGTTCTACTTAAATATTCTCTGTGTTTTATGAAGAAATTGTTCTGAATAGACATTTTCCCATTGTACTTCATTTTATCACAATGTATATTCCCTTTTAACTGAAAGGGAAAAATTTAAATTGCTGGGGGGAAAACCCTGCAGGATGGAAATGAATGTTTAGAATGTAGATCAGTAATAAGCACTTTTTCACTGATGTGGCAGAAATCACTGTTGATTTTGTCTAAGTTTCAAGGTATCTGTTTCCCTATTTCTGACCTACAATTTATGAAATATACTGTGTTAGGAAAACTATAGACTGCTTTCTTCATGCTTTTCTAAACCGCTGCAGATTGCCATGAACTGTTGATAGTCCCCTTTTTGCAGATTAAGTAGTATTTTCAAAACATTTTTACTTACTGCCAGGCAGTTTAAAGCTAAGAATTCCTGCAATAGAATGCATTTAACTGAAACAATTGTTAAGATGTTTCAGGACGGAAATATAAAAGGAAATGTCCTGATAATGGTACTGCTTTTTCATTATAAGTAGTCACTTATAATGACTACCTTGTAGTAGTAGTTTGCATCCACTACCAAGCCTGATAGAAGCCTGCGATATTCTATAGGTTTTGGCATATTGTGTAAAATGACAGATCTAGAGGAAGGCGGGGATTTTAGATGTGTGCCTTTAAAAACTAATTATGTGAAATTGTACTGATATTTCACATACAGAGATAATTTTTGCACTGGCCTGTAAAATTTACAGTGCACATTGAAGATCCAATTCTGCCTTTCACTGAGGCCTCCATTCCAAGTGAAGTTTCTTGTCAAAATATGCATCACTTTATTTAACTACGCTCTCAATACACAAGTGCATGAGTATGGTTTTTTCCTTTGGTAAGGAATAGAGTATATATATAGGACATTTGACTGAGATGAAACTCTTAGTTTTGCACCTGTTACAAGAGATCTCCATTTCATATCATTTAGCAGGTTGGCCTTAACATTTATACTTTAATGAAATGTTCTTAAACCTGTGTGTGCAGCAGGACAAAAAGGAATTTTTTTCTCCCTTTTAGGAAATACTTTGTCTTCTCAATGTTCTTGGCACAGATGTATTGCTAAAGTAGATAATTTCACTGAGAAATACTCCTTGATTATTATTATAAATTTAGAATGTCCCTATTGTTGGCCTAATTCTTGGGGAAAAAAATCTGAGTATAACTTTGCTGATATTTTAAAAACCAAATATTCTCTGGAGAAAAAATTTGTATTGCTCAGGGAATGTTTACCTTGCCAAGTAAACTTCCCCAAAGAGAAATATACCTATACTAGTTTTGTGTTTTTAAATCTAGATTATATTGATCGAGATGAAGGGCTTAACCTATGTATGGCTCCCTTATTTTGCTTACTCCTTGTGCACTTTGTGAAGGACAGTATCTAGTTTATCTGTAGCTCAGTGTACCTCACACATCCCCACAGCATCTTCTGCAGAGGCATAAGGAAGTGGTAACAGATGTTACTGGCATTTCCCACGTACCTGGAATGCTCCAGCGTTCTTCAAAGCCTACTGGTAAACAATAACCAAAATACTGTGAGTTTTGTGCACCTTTGTAAAGCAGCCAAATCGTTGACTCCAGATGCAGATGATCAGAGTTCTGTAATGTTTTTACCTACCATGGTATAATCAGTTTTACAGAATTATTAATATGGTAGCATCCTCTTATATAATGCTGGGATTTAAGAACAAAAATAATTCATTGCTTAGCATAGAATTTTATATCCAAGGAGACTGTCCTTAGAAGCAGTCTCTCATTCTACCTCTCACTTTACAGATGAGAAAATTGAAGCCCAGAAATGCCGTCATTTATTCAAGGTCACAGAGATAATTAGTGGCAAAGCCAAGACCAGAATCCAGGTTTTCTGACTTACTGTGCTTTGTCTCCAGTGTAATTCTGTAAATGTTCTGAATGCTTCTGAAGAAGCATTTTTAAATAAAGGACGTCTGACCTCCATTTTTGGTACATTAAGGCACGTGATAAATGGAGTTTTTTTATTGTCTTATTTTTCTTAGCTAATTATGAGATTTAGAATATTATTTCCATAGTATTCTTTATGAAAGATATGATTAATTTTTTTAACTCTTTTTTACTCTTCTGGAACCACTTTCTGATTTTTTTAAAAAAAAATAGTGACAGGTGTGCATTGGATACTTTTAACTTGTGAGTAAATTTTTCTGTTAATTGCCCAAGACTAAATCCAATTTAAGGATTGTTTAGTTTCTTTATTTTGTTTAAATTCTGTGAATTGGTGCTTTTTAGAAACCAGGCTAATTCATAGGTCATATCATTTCATCCTTGTTCAATCACCAGAGAGCTCTTGAATTCTTAACGTTATTCTCAGAGCCACACAAAATTGGGCATTAAATGTTGTATAGAACAAAACAAAATTTTTAATAGGGTAAAATTTTGAAGTCTTATCAGAATCCCAGATGTTAAACTGCTACTTTCAACTCTTCATTAAAAGCATTACCTTGAGAAAGTTAAAAAAAAAAAAGTTAAACTTTTTTTCTTTCTGTCACTATCTTCGAAACAAATTATTTTCCACTTCACCAGAACTTTGACAGAAAAGGAAATTATCTTATTCTTTAAAGAACATTCAATAAAAGTTTTACTCATAGAGGATTCTTTCAAGACACAATCCCCAAAAGCCTTAGTGATCTAGACCTCTATCATAGAATCAAGACAATGAAAAATTATGTATCAAAAAAAGTATTTGCAGAGTATAGTTCTATTTAAAGGTCAAATCGATGTTTTTGATGAGTGTGTCTTTGGTTTATGTTTAACCATTTCCTAACTACAAATTATACAGGAAGGGTGGGGTTACTTTTATTAAGTGTTTATATATCAGGCTCTTTGTATGGCCTTTTTCATGTTATCACATTTAAAATCCTCATATTTTTATAAAGAAAGATTTTTCCATGATTTTGATCCATAGATCTTTTTCAGATATATTTTATCTTCTGATTCTCCTAACATTCTTGTGAGGAAGGAATTAATTCATAACTCCATTTTACAGATGACGAAGCTGTTTCGAGAGATTGTAAATGACCTAACTGGGGGATAGCCAGTGGTAGAGCACTGACTCTAGATCCAGTACTTCTTGGTGACAACTACTCTTTTTTGTATGTCATTCTACAATGATTTAAAGGTCCAAGAAGTTGTAGCAGATCTAAACACACTCTCCTATAAAATCATGAACCATCACCATGAAAAAATTGATATAGGGGAATAGTTGTTATATATACATTGGTTAGACTCATTCCTTCTTTGGATGCTCTCTTATGCTTATTACCTTTGCCATTTAACTTAAACTGTGCAGGCTAAAAAGAGCAATCAGAGCTCTTTTAAGCACTTTTAAGAACTTTTTTTAAAAAAAGAAAGTAAAGTTTTTTTGACACAGAGTAAGCTGCTTAAAAGGGACTGATTCAATAGTGTCAGCACCAGTGTGTGACGAGAAACTGAACTCCTGGCCAAGACACATTAACCTAGTTAGTAGGAAGTTGTCTTCCAAGAAGTACAAATAATTTTGCACTGCATGAGAGGGATACATAGGATTCGATTTACAACATTACATTTTATAGACACCTTTTCAAAAGGAAGAAACATATTTCACAATTAGTAGTAATCTATGCTTAAACTTAATAATATTTAACTTTGAACTCTTCCCATGGCTTTGAAAATTTAATATTTGTAATTTTGATCCTGATGGAAAGCCTGTAAAAAAGAATGTCTTTGTCTCATACATCCTATTGTCACCACACTTAGCATGAATTTACACTTAACGCACTTAGTAAATGTTTGGATAACCAGTGAGTAAATATTGTAGACAGCAGTGGATACACAAGTAAGGACTGGGGACAGGTAAACCAGTAATTTACTGTTTATTACAGAAGACATCTCAGCTTTTCTTTGGCATTTTTGCACAAATAAGTGAGTTTATATTCACTTTGGCCATTTTTTTTTTCAAGTAGCCCTCTAAGCTAGCTGCTCCTTCATTTTAATACAGGAACAGTGGAAATATCGAGATGTTTTCCATTTTGCATGCTGTTGGACAGGAATTTCGTAGAACTGGGACTGTGGAACCTGGGTCACTTGAATTTTTATATTTTGTATAGCCAAATGAGAAACCACACTCTTCTTTGTTTTTATAGAAAGTTGCCATATTCCTATTACTTTAAGGACCTGTGTATAACATTCTATTTCATTTATCCCAGATGTATTTTCATCTAAAACTCTTTCAAAGGTATATCTTGAAGGTACTTCTATAAAAACAACACTACATGTATTCATTAAGTGATTTAAACATTCCTAAGATAGTTTTTATCTTCTCTGTCTTTTCCCCTCTAAATACTAAATTTCAGTAGAGCTTCTCTTTACTTATTTTCCATCTCTTTTCATTGCTTCTGCCAATGTAAAACTTCCCTTTTTCACTAGTGGAAAAAAAAAAGCTTTATTTTGAATTTTAGTATTTGAGTTTTATGTATCATATATCATGCATCGATTAGGCTCAATGAAGATTCTGTTCTGAACTAGACATATCCTGTCAAGAGCTTGCCAAGTAATCATCTCATTGCTTCCTCTAATAGCAAATTCAGTGATATTTCTGCCCAAGTGATATTTTGCCCCAACATTTGTGACTTTGATCAATACACAGAATGGGTCTTTTATATCAGAAATACTGTGAATGAAAAATTGCCAAATCCTATTCTAAACACCCCTACAACTCTTTACCTCCCTGTCTTTAATGGTTTCTAAACATATGGCCAAGTTTGAATTTGGGTTTGATTCCTATGGTGAAGAGTATGGCATCAAAACATTTCTAAATAAACGTTCGAGTACAAGGCTAGGTTGGAATGTCAAAGACTATGTTGTAATTTGGTTTGAATATGCTAAAGTGAGCAATTATGATTTGCCTAAGAACAACACAACAAATTCATAATGTATATTTTACTTTTTTCTACTTGAAGACATTCATGTATATATTTTGTTTAACCTCAGATGTATTTAAAAAGAATGATAAACTATTGTATCAAAATTCTTCCAATAAAATTTCTGTTTAAAAATCTTTACCTGAATTGTGTCTTATTAGTTTGATGAACTGAAAAGAACACTGTGAATTTAACAGTTATTGGAACAGATTCTGGAGGACTTAAGGAATGGAGGGGAAAGAATGATTCTCAGGGCCCAGAAACAGCAAAGTTGATCAGGAAAGAGGAGATGGCAGGAGACTTGGAAATGTCTTGACATTGTGAAGATCCTCGTTGTGGATCATCATACTCATTATTTTACCTCATAAACAAGTCTTAAAGTATTTCCAGACATTACCATTAACCCCAAATTGTTCTCTCACCTCATTCCCTATGATCTCAGCTTATAGGAAATGAAGACCAAAACCATCTGACATGAGCCTCCATTATCCTTCCAAATTTTTTCCCTCTCATCAGAAGAAATTCTTTTATTTCAGTAACTTCTCCACAAAACCCCAGATCCCACTCATCCCACTTTCTGAAACATACTCTTACAATGCAGCCTCTTCCTACTATCAGTCTTTGCCACACAATGAGGGCTTCATCCTCAGGGTGTCTGTTGTCAAGCATCTTACTTGTGGTCTACATGTGCTTCTTCCACTTCCTTTCTAACCATTTCTGTAGCTCCTAGTAATATTGCTTCACTCCTCCCTAGTTTGTGGAGTTAATCAAAGGCCATCGGTGGCTTGATTCTTATCACAACTGTGGCATAACTACCAGCATCTCAAATTCAACAAAAAGAAAAGAATACATTTACCTTTCCCACTCAGATCTCTTTTCAACTACCATTTCTGTCAGAATTCCTTACAGAATTCTTAGAAATCTAAACGTCGCCTTTGCCACACCCCCGTTTCCTGAATCCCTATCACAAAGTCCTCCTCATTCTGTTAGGGGAACCACTGACTGAAACCGCCCACCCTGGCCAGGTATCACAGCAACCACTTGCATGAGTTTTCCTACAACAGGAGGTCCTGGTAAGGAACGCGGAACTAACAAGCTACCACCAACCGGAAGAATTCGGGAAGGGTCAAAAGGAGAGAGGAGATGCCAGTCCGTTTATGTCCTACCACCCTCCCAGAATCCTCCTCGCTGGAATCCATCTTGGCTGAGCGATGCACGCGCCACCAGGAAGGACCCTGAGGCAGAGTGACTGGCCGGAGACAACCCGGAAACTAAACCAATTACCGTAAAACCCGAGACGGCAAGCCACGTGGCAGAGCAGTTCTCCTGGGTTCCCTTACCCTGCTGCTCTCCACCCAGGCGCCGCTTCCCAATAGTCTCTTGCTTTGTCAGCACACGTGTCTCCTTGGACAATTCATTTCCGAGTATTAGACGACAGCCCACTCTCGGGCCCTGGAAGGGGTCCCCCTCCCTGCAACAATTCTTTGCAAATCTTTTAAATTCACCTTTCCATTCCCACTGCCCTACTCTAGTACTTCATTGATAACTGTACACAGAGTCACTCTGAGGAACTGTCTGACTTCCCATCTATTCCATGCCCAGCTCTAGCCACCTCCATTTCAGCACACACGCACACACAACACACCACAAAAACAATTCTGGCCTTAGGCAGGAAGACAAGGAATTTCTGCTGAATCAGACTCCTGTGCAGGCCCTTTATAAACATTTCCCCTAACCTGGTTTCCTGATTACCTTCTGCCTGCCCTTCTGCATAGTGGACTTTGACCTGCTAGAACTACAGCACCTGCCAGGGACTCCCTGCCCTGCCTTTCCTGTGTTCTCTGGAATTAGCCTCTGGCCTAGTGGAAGTCCACAGTGGCCTATCAACGCCCCTTTAGAGCAGCCTCTTCTGTTTACATAGAGGTTTAGGCAAGTTATTTACTAAAATAGTTCACTACCCAATCTTTCTTTATCTAGAGTTTTTGGCTTCCCTCCCCCCAGAAGCCACCCTGTGTTATACTAACAAAGTAAGCTTCCCAGTTTCCATTGTGATTCCTTCAGCTCAGGAATCGAGTGGCTGCCTAAATGCTCATCAAATACAAATTCCTCTGAACAACTTTAGCAACTCATAATGCTTTGCCTTCCCTCCTTATTCAATCTCATTTCCCATGATATGGCAATAAGCAGACTTTTCATTACTCTAGACCAGAGAAACAGCAAAGGCAGAGAGAAGCAAGCAGGTCTAACAGATGTAGATAAAATGACAGCAATTTAGTATTTTTCATTCTGTATGCAGAAAAGAAAACATCATTTTAATAGGATTCAATCTCATTCAAACAATCTGTCAGCTCATCCAGCTCTACTTCCAGACTTAAAAAAAAATCTGCTATGAAGTTCAGGCTTAGCACAAGCTACCAACATGTAAATGAATAATTCTACTTTATCTAATAAATTCCTATAACCAATAGGAGTAATAATGGTAACAGTGTGACAATACTCAAAGGCATTAGGTCTGGCACCATTTAAATAATCAATATTTATTGAAAACAATGGATGAATTATGCTTACAATATAAAGGTTAGCACCTCTGAAAAATGGTTCTGTATGGATTGTTAAAGTGAATTGTACTCTTTGAAAGACAGTCCCTGCTAAAGTCAAAGGATTGAAAACAAAATAATATGAAAACAAAAGCATTCCCCAAAGTATTTCCTGACTTTAGGTACATAGAATATTTTAAAAGGGTGACACTCACTGTACAAGTAAACAAGAAGTTAAGATTCACATCTAAGCATAGGTATAGTTTCACAGCAATTAGAACCCTGCCATTTGGCCTGGACTTTTGAAAACATTGTAACTGCTTCTAAAATTATAAATAAGGCCTGTCTGATTAGCCATCACTGTTTTCCACCCTAGGCATTAAGTTAGATCAGATTGTTGTTCAACTTTACAGGGGGTATCTGTCCTGTATGTGCATCATACTACTTCCCCTTGAGCAATAATTTGTACACAGGTCATATTGATTCCCTCAGAACTTCAAATCAAGACAAAGTTACTACATTTGTAGTTATATCATTTGGAGCAAAGGCTTCCCATTGGCTTCCAAAGACTTCCCCAAGACAATCCTGTAGTAGTGGCCAGCAACTATGGAAACCCACAAGAACTACAACTGAGAGATGAGAATTTTTCTGTTTGACAGAGTTACGATTTCAAGAGGGTAGCGAAAACCTCTCTTGCTTTTTTCCTCTATCCCCACTCCATATAGGTCAGGATGTAGGCCCAATCATGAAGGTATGAGACACAGAGCAACAGAGTAAACAGAACTCCAAGTTTCTGGCCAGAGGACTAAAGAAAGGGAGCCTAGGGAACCAGGAAGTAGTGAGGAGATCATAGAGAGGGAGGAAAGCAACGTTGTAAAGTTGATTATGAACCCCAAAGTTCACTCTCAAGTCACTAATGCTTGGATCTGATCCTATTTAGCATACCAAAAGAACTTCAGAACTAAACTATCCAATTGACTAGGTCCCAGATTGCATAGGTTCCAGACCAGGTCACATAAATCTTAGATCCCAAGAACTGCAGTTCTTGAAAACTGAACTGACACTGGAACCACAGTCCATAGAAGGTGGACTGGTGACTGCATTCTGCATCTAATCAGGTTCATTGCCTGCTAAAACAAAAAGAATGCCATTCACCATAGAATCTAAACAAGACCCAGAATCTCATGATATAATATTCAAAATGTCCAAGCTACAATCCAAATTACTTGGTAAAGTGCCACAAAAATTTCAACTTCCAGATGAAAAACAATCAACAGATACCAAGGCTGAAATGACATCAATGTTGGAATTATACAACAAAGACGTTAAACAGCTATTACAAAAATGCTTGAACAGTCACTTACCTTGCAACAAATGTTAAAATAGAAAATTGAAGGTATAAAAAAGAACCAAATGGAAATTTTAGAACAGTAACCAAAATAAAAACGTACAAAATGAACTCAACAGCAGAATGGAGAAGACAGAGGCAAGAGTGAGTGAATGGTACTGGCACAAAACCAGAAATATAGATCAATGGAACAGGATAGAAAGCCCAGAGATAAACCCACACATATGGTCACCTTATCTTTGATAAAGGAGGCAAGAATATACAATGGAGAAAAGACAGCCTCTTCAAAGGTGGTGCTGGGAAAACTGGACAGGTACATGTAAAAGAATGAAATTAGAACACTCCCTAACACCATACACAAAAATAAACTCAAAATGGATTAGAGACCTAAATGTAAGACCAGACGCTATAAAACTCTAGAGGAAAACATAGGCAGAACATTCTATGACATAAATCACAGCAAGATCCTTTTTGACCCATCTCCTAGAGGAAGGGAAATAAAAACAAAAACATATGGGAACTAATGAAACTTAAAAGCTTTTGTACAGCAAAGGAAATCATAAAAAGGATGAAAAGACAACCCTCAGAATGGGAGAAAATATTTGCAAAAGAAGGAACTGACAAAGGATTAATCTCCAAAATATACAAGCAGCTCATGCAGCTCAATATCAAAAAAACAAACAACCCAATCCAAAAATGGGCAGAAGACCTAAATAGACCTTTCTCCAAAGATGACACAGATTGCCAACAAACACATGAAAGGATGCTCCACATCACTAATCATTAGAGAAATGCAAATCAAAACTGCAATGAGGTATTACCTCACACCGGTCAGAATGGCCATCATCAAAAAATCTACAAACAATAAATGCTGGAGAGGGTGTGGAGAAAAGGGAACCCTCTTGCACCATTGGTAGGAATGTAAATTGATACAGCCACTATGGAGAACAGTATGGAGGTTCCTTAAAAAACTAAAAATAGAACTACCATATGACCCAGCAATCCCACTACTGGGCAAATACCCTGAGAAAACCATAATTCAAAAAGTGTCATGTACCACAATGTTCATTGCAGCTCTATTTACAATAGCCAGGACATGGAAGCAACCTAAGTGTCCATCGACAGATGAATGGATAAAGAAGATGTGGCACATATATACAATGGAATATTAGCCATAAAAAGAAATGAAATTGAGTTATTTGTAGTGAGGTGCATGGATCTAGAGTCTGTCATACAGAATGAAGTAAGTCAGAAAG